CCTGCCTCCAGCCACCCGTATTGGAAGGAGAATGTAGACAACCTTGAAGAAGCCGCATGCCAAGATCTCATCAGCGTACTCCGCCTGCGCAGTGGAATGAGCCACTGTGGCTTCCTGGGAAGAGGCCCTGGAGTCAGGCAGACCAGGAGAGACTCCTCCTCCACTCCTCCCCAACGTGACTTGTTCATCCCCGAACCCTATTTTCCTCATATTAAAACACAGGCCCTGCCCGGATAGGTCAGTTGGTTAGAGCATCATCCAGATACGCCAAGATTGCAGGGGGGACCCCTGGTCAGGGTACATACAAGAATCAGCCAATGAATGCATGAAGAACAACAAATCTCTCTCTTCCTCTCTCTCTCAAATTAATCAAAAATAAATAAATAGCTACATTGAAGGTTGTTATCATGTTCCTATTTGAGTCCTGGGTTCACCGTGGCCCCCAACAAACACACCCCCCCATGCTCTTCTCTAACCCTGTGCACAGGTGTTTCCATGACAACCTAGAGTCATGAGTGGTATGCTAACGTTTACCCAGAAGTGGGGCAGGCTGTAAAACCGGAGCCAGGCTGCGGTGTGTGGAGCAGGGGCTCTGGCCGTGGACAGCCTGCCTCATGCCGAGTACCAGCCCTGGTGGCTGCTGGTCTCCCATCTCTAAGACAGAAACGTGGTAAAGAACCCTCACCCTAGGGCTGTCGGGAGGATTGAGTAAATGCATGCCTGCAAGCACTTAGCACAGTAAGCATTTGCTAAGTGCGGCCTATTATTGACAGTTCTTAATGATGCTGACCCAAATAAGGGGGGTAGGCTCAGAGCCAGCATTTATTTAACTTATAAAATGTTACGTCTTTAACTTTTTAATTATATTGATTAGAGAAACTTTGATTTGTTGATCTACTTACGTATGCATTCATTGGTTGATTCCTGACCAGGATTGAACCTGAAACCTTGGCTTATGGGGACGACGCTCTAACTAAGCAACCCGGCCAGGGCCAAGCTTACATTTCTTTCTTTTTGAATGTTTGTGCTTCCCCTAAACCTGCCCAGGCACACACTCTATCTTCAGATACCTACTTGGGTGATCAGGACCGCTAGCTTCCTGGGCCATCACCAAGACGAGCCAAGCCTGGGCGGCCTCTGAACATGATAAACAGCTCAGCACCTCGGCAACACCTGTTCCTAGTAAAGTAACCCTCCTGTCAGCATGAGACGGTCCCTTTACCTAGCAATGCTTCTTACCTTCGAGTCTGCTCTAGACAATAAATACAAAAAGACGAGAAGTCTTTTTCCATCTCTCAGGGTTCAACCTTCCTGCATCGCTCTGCCCTTGGCCTTCCTGTCCTAGGTTCCACACCCGCAGACCCCACACCCGCAGACCCCACACCGCAGACCCCACACCCGCAGACCCCACACCGCAGATCCCACACTGCAAACCCCACACCAGATCCCACACACCAGCCACCTGGGCTCCCAGGACTCTCGGACTTGAGAACAGCACATTCCAGGGCCCAGTGCAGTTCTGCAAAAGCAGCAACAAGTTCCAGATGCAACAGGCCCCCGGGTCTGACTTGCCCAGACTTACAGAAACTGGTCTTCAATCAGCACACCTTCGTCTTCAGTGAAGCGACAGCAAAAATGAGGCCTTTCCTCCCTAATTTGAAAAGCCAGATTTCCACAGGATGCGGGAGTCAGAGCCAGAGGAATTAGTCAGGACAATGACGAGTGATGGCACTGAACCAGGCCACTGCACTGTGGTGAGCTGTCTCCCTTCTCCAGCCCTCGGGATCCCCCTTTCCTTTCACCCACCTCCGATCTGGCTCTCAACAGTACTGTGCGATGTAGAAAGCCTCGTCTTTCCTGATTGTAAGGCGAGCAGTCCTGGGAAGTGTTTCTAGCCCATGAACCCCTCCCGGTGTTGCCAATTGCTATTTGGCCCAGAGCCCGTGTCTGGGCTTCTGTGATGCACCTTCTGCCACTTGGAAACCATATCCAGGCCGCCCCCGCCCTCCAGGCCGCCCCCACTCTCCAGGCACCATCTGGCCCCAGTATGGACTCCTTTAATTATTATTTTTTAAAATATATTTTTATTGATTTCAGAGAGGAAGAGAGAGAGAAACATCAATGATGAGAGGGAATCAATTGGCTACCTCTTGCACAATCCTTACTGGGAATCGAGCCTGCAACCCGGGCATGTGCCCTGACCGAGAATCGAACCGTGACCTCCTGGTTCATAGGTTGATGCTCAACCACTGAGCCCCGCTGGCTGGGCCTCCTTTAATTATTTTTGACAAAAAAAAAAAAATTACCACAAGTGAGACTAATATGAGGGAATTAGCAATGTACGGAAAACAATTTAAAATCGGGTAATGCACCCTAGCCGGTTTGGCTCAGTGGATAGAGCATCAACCTGTGGACTGAATAGTCCCGGGTTCGATGCCGGTCAAGGGCGCATGCCCAGGTTGCGGACTCAATCCCCAGTATGGACCATGCCGGAGGCAGCTGATCAATGATTCTCTCTCATCATTGATGTTTCTATTTCTCTTTCCCTCTCCCTTCCTTTCTGAAATCAATAAAAATATTTTTTTTTTAAAATTGAGTAATGCATTCATTCGTGTCCTTAGAACCAGCCGCACCATCCACAACTAGTATTTTCCTCTCCTTAGGCCCAGCCTGCAGCTCCAACCAGATACCTGCTCCTCCAGACGGTGTGCCCCAAGGGCTGCTCCCCACTATGAATTCTGTGGCTCCAATTCTCCCACTCCGACTCCCAGAAGACTAATCTGGTGATTATCTTTGCCTTCTTACTCTGCCCACTGCTCTGCTTTAGATCTGACCTACACAGTATTTCTTCTAGCTCTGACAGTGCATTTAGCTCCCAGGTTAAAACCCAGACCCTCCCTCTGGATGTGAGGATTGCACCAGCCTGGAAACAAGCCATCCCTAACCATGGACCCAAATGGGTACAAATGTTTGTGCAGAGCTCATCATGCTGACTATCAGTCAGTTTGAATGTTTTCCTATTATAAGCAATACAATGAATATCCTAAAAGCTAAATCTCTACCCTTTCAAATGTTTGCTGATCCAAAGAGAGTACATTTAATCACTCTTTCAGTCTTGAACTACCTCTAAGTCTGAAAATACAATAAGGAGCATAAACACACTCCCCAACCATACAACCCTGCTATCTTGCAGGAAGAGACAAATAAGGAAATAAACTTAAACTGCAACAATGTTAAATGCAAACAGTAGTGCCTGGGGGTGGGGGGTTTCCCTAAGGGACTGGCCATGAGCTGAGAGCTGATAAATGACTAAGTGTGAAGGAGTTCCAAGCTAAAAGCACAGCTATAGTGTGAAGTCCTGGGGCTGGAAAGAGTGCTGGGGCCGGGAGACCAGCCTCGCTGCAACAGGTAGGTTAAGGGGAACACAGACAGAAAGGGGGCAAGGGCCCTGCCTGATTGTGACTCTAGGAACAATGGGATGACACTGAATGACTCTGCAATTTTAAAATCTGATACGTCCTGGATTACGTGCTGGTGAAGCTATAGGCCCTACAGCTTCCCCAGCACTATTACCTTACAATGTTTTAACTTGTAAACATTACTTTTTTCCTGGGGTTATTGCCCATGCTGATATCTGTTATGTACTTAGTGTCTGTGACGCCCCCACACCTAACCCCCAATGTGACAGTATTAGGAGGTGAGGTCTTTGGGAGGTGAGGCAGGAGGTGGAGCCCTCATGAATAGGATAGTGCCCTCATGAGAGACAGGAAAGACCTTGCTTCAGCTCTGTGCAAGCCAGGAAGAGGACCTTCACCAGACACAGAATCTGTCCGCACCTTGATCTTGGACTTCCCGGCCTCAAGAAATACTATCTTATCCTATTTAATAAAAGGCTAATATGCAAATTGACCAAACGGTGGAACAGCCGCTCTCTATGATGCGCACTGACCACCAGGGGGCAGACGCTCAATGCAGGAGCTGCCCCCTGGTGGTCAGTGTGCTCCCACAGTGGAGAGTGTCACTCAGCCAGAAGCCAGGCTTATGGCTGGTGGTGATGGGAGCCTCTCCCGCCTCCACGGCAGCACTAAGGATGTCGGACTGAAGGCTTAGGCCTGCTCCCGGTGGCCTGCGAGAGGGCACAGGCCGGGCTGAGGGACCCTCCTGTGAGTGCACAATTTTGTGAACCAGGCCTCTAGTGAGAAATAAATGTTTAAGTTGCCCAGTCTATGATAAATTATTACAGCAGCCTAAACTGCCTAAGAAAGTATACTTGTCCATTTCTTACCGGGGTACTATCCTTTTTAAAAATAGTTTTTTCTTACTGAATTACCTATTTTTTAACTTAATGAATTATCTATTACCTTTTCTTTAATCTTCTTTTCCTAATTGTTTGGCTTTTAATTATGTCCGGCAAAACATTATATACATAGCAACCTTTTTTTTAGGGATCAAGTTATTTTCTCACTCCAATATTATATAGGTATCGTCTATATTTCCTATTTATATTTTTATGGTTCAGCTGCTCATATTCAATTGTGATGTCTTGATTGACATATATGAACAGAAACCTAATTTTACTTTTCAAAAAAGTAAACCAGTTATCCCTTGAAATGTCACCGTTATCATTATGAGTAAACAACCTAGAGAATAATTCATGGATGTTTCTTAACCTTCCATTTTGTTCTACCATTAACTGTGTAATACATCTCCTGTGAGATAAAGTTTGCCCATGGAAAGTCCTATCCTCATTTGTTCAATTTTAATTAGCTTCCCGTAAGAAACTTACTCCTTTCATCTGAAATACTGAATGGGCTCACACAGGGTTTTGTTTTGTTTTTTTTTCAGAGCTATCTGAGAACTAGATATCCACCTGGAATGGAACAGGCAAAATGACCTTGAAGACTTCAGCAACCCTTCCCAACAACTACTTACATTTATATAAAGTTTTGCACCTACTGTGTACATTACTGAAGAGTTTAAACAAATATCCCCTAAGACAATTTAACATAGTTGACCTTTTATTTTAAAAAATTACAGGGAATGATTTCCAGCATATCTTATATTATAAAAGTACTGCTTATATCAAACATTTTTTAATCACTATTAACTCCATTGAAGAGCTGCCTTTTTTTTTTTCTAAGGTACTAATTCCAATTGATGGGACACTTACCCTTAAAATAGAAAAGTTTCCATTATTTATTCAAATGTCAAAATTAAGATCATTGAGAAGTTTATTGCTTTATGGCTGGGCAAGATGCTACTAGCACATTTTAGGTAAATAATAATCTTTTTAGAAACTATGAGGTCATTCTGTTTAAAACTTTTAGGGTAACTCACAGAAAATAGATATTCAAATTACACTGGGGCTGGGCTATTTTAACACTTGTATGTGAAGCAGCTCTTTAAAGAAATAAGATGCACATATAGGCCTGATTTAATACACATAATTGAAATTAATAAAACCTGGAAGATCAATGTTGTTGCGCTATGTTTTGTTAGGATTTCTTTTTTTAATCACACATTTAGTAGTTCATTTGTGCTTAAACTATTCATATGCATGAGAAGCTTAAAGAAAAAAACACCTCTGTACATGATGATGAAAAGGAAGTAATAAATTTTTTTGAAATTGCACTGTTATTTAAGTCATGTTCCTAAAGCCAGACCTTCCTTTGCAGCTGGCAGAGTTTTCAGATCTAATTGGCGACCTGGGGAGGCCCCTCTGGTATGAGTGAAGTGAAGAAGCTGGTGATGAAAGCCCAAGCGGACGCCATGAGTCCAGGCCTGTGGAGTGCACTGCCGTCTTCACCCGCCTCTTCTCCATGCTCATCTTCAAGCCCATCATCCATGAGACGCTCCTTTCAAACAAAACAAGAAATATACTCCTAAGTGAGTAAGCAGCTAGCACGCACGGGTGCCAAAAGAGAGTTAAGTACTTCCCTAGAGAAGGAAGGAACGTGAGAGTAAGAAAATGGTACACAGCTGGTCATTAGAAATCTTTGTTAAATCCAAAATTGATAAATTCCTTGGTGTTTGAGTTCAAAGGGTAACTGCCAATTTAATATAATAAATTCTCACCATGTGCATAATTTTCTTTCTAGGCTATTTTAAGGAAGAAAAATATTAGTTCTTCCCACTTAATTCTAATTTGACTAAGTTCTTCCAGATGAAACCACACAGCTTATATGTTAACTTTTCTTCATGTGCTATTCCTCGAATATTTATGGAACACCCAAGACTGTTTTATCATGTTGCCTCATACAACGCTGAGGACACATCCACACTGAAAACATACAAAACCTCATGAGCATACCATTTCTTCAAGTTCTAGGTTGTCTGCATTCTGCCCATGATTGGCCTCAGCATTATTGTTGGGAGCCTGCTGCTCACCTCCTTCTTGCCGAAAAGGAAACCATCCAGCTTGGTGTCTGTTTGGTAAAATAAAGAAAAGAAAAGAAGTCACAACTGCTTTTATTTATAAAACTATGAAGCATTAGTGCCCTACAAGAGAAAAATGATTAGAACTATATTACATGAAAGGACCATATTGCCTACTTTAGGCTGAGAACTACCCCTCTCAAAGCAATGACAGCAAAACAGCAATCAATTTAAGGCAAAAAGTCTATCATGGGCTTAATTGCCTCTATGCTAGATATTAAGACATGTCCGGAGTCATAAAACCTTTTTGTTATTTTTTAAAATGAAATTCAACTAGATAATTTGCTTGCCTCTTGTGGCAAGGCAAAGTTAGTCTACTTATGAAGAAAAAAATCTGACCTGTACCTAAAGGACTTACTATTAGTAACTATAATTAAAAAGAACATACTTGTACAAGAATGAATCATATACTTCCACCAGTTCTAAATATTGTTAATAGCTGAACTAATATTTTTTATAATTGACAATAAAGGAAAAATTTGCTTCTAGACAATTCTGATAAATGTTCTCACTCAACATAACCTGGTCTGCTTCTGATGCCAGACCTACGAAACCCAACATTCTTATTTCCTCATCTGACATTCACGACAGACGACCATATGCCAGATTCTGTGCTGACCAGTTTGAAAAAGTCATTAAAAGGAACCACAGAAAGGTAATGAACATCACTCACAAATAAACCAGTAGCATGGCTCCCATGACCATGACAAAGCGACTGAAAGAGGAATAGAAGTACACAATGCTGAGGAGGATGGCGGCTCGTGAGAACGTATACATCCAGTCTAGCCAGTCTCGATTGAAGTCTTCTTCGTTTAGCACCGGGCCGCCCTGGGCATTCATCTGAACATTCTCATTCATGGGTCGATTTTCTCGGGCCACTAAGTTGGGAGCTGGTGGAGGTTCTTCTCCAGGAAGACGTGCCAAATTTAGAGGCTGTGAAGGCGCAGGCTGGGCAGGGGTGGCATCTGATGTGGCCTGAGCTGAAACTGCAGCTTGACTGGAAGAGTCACCAAAATAAACATTAAAAAGGGAAGAACTTGATCACACTATGTATTTTTTCAAAGCGTCCTGGGTAAGCCATATGTGTTTTTCATAAACCTGATATGGACTATCACTACCCCTGCCCCCATTTTTTAGGTAAGCACAAATTTCAGTGGAAAGTGGGACCAAGATTGTGGCAGGAGTAGCTCAGGGAAGGAGGCTCTCAGCCTGGTTTGGGGGGATGGAGGGGAGATAAGAACAGCCACGTGAATCACTCTTTTCTCCTTTGCACTAAATACTTTATAAGGTAACAACCAAATCTCTTTCCAATCTCTTCACTAATGGCCCCTTTTGTCACTCTACATAGTACCCCACCACCTTCCCCTCAGACCCAGGTTTTGAAGGATTTGTCTAAAAAATGTACATTAGTCATGACCCTGTGTCCACTGTCAGTGATAAATGATTTGTATTAGCATTTTAAGATATTACCCCTTCAACCCCAACCCTGACTTTTGGGAACTCTATCTGGGGACCACTGATAGAGGTCCTTTATTAACTTGTAAAGAATTGTGGTTCTAAAGTTTGCTTATAATTTAATTGCTGGAAAATCAGAAAAATTTTTCTATAATATGCTCCTAGTAAAATAATATATATAGAATTTAAATTATCCAGCCTAGGGGGAAAGTTGTAGAAGATGGTCATGAATTGATAAATGCTGAAATTGGGTGATGAACACAGTGTTCATTTTATATTCTATCTTTCTATATGTTGAAATTCTTCTACAATCAAAAGTTTAAAAATCAAGATAGCAAAATAAAATAAAATAGAAGTTTCCTAGGCTACAAAAGCCTATGTAAGCCTGTATTCTAAGATCTTGCATCTATACGGGTTTTTTTTGGTTCCAAAACACTTACTACACCTCATATTGATTCAGAAGTTGAGCATCTTGTCATATGTCTCCTGGCCATTTATATGTCCTCTTTGAAGAAGTGTCTATTCAGGTCCTTTGCCCATTTTTTAATTTGTTTGGGTTTTTTGGTGTTGAGTTTTATAAGTTCTTTATAAATTTTGGGTATTAACACTTTATCAAATGTACCAGCAAATACGTTCTCCCATTCAGTGGGCTATCTTTTCAATTTGTTGATGGTTTCCTTTGCTGTGCAAAAACTTTTTATTGTGATGTAATCCCATTTGTTTATTTTTATTTTGTTTCCCTTGCCCAAGGAGATACATCAAGAAAAAATATTATTATGAGAAATGTCTGAGATTTTACTGCCTGTTTTATTCTAGGGTTTTTATGGTTTTGAGACTAACATTTAAGTTTTTAATCATTTTTTAATTTATTCTTGTGTGTGGTATAGGATGATCTAGTTTCATTTTTTGCACGTATCTGTCCAATTTTCCCAACACAATTTATTGAATAGACTATCTTTATCCCACTGTGTTTTTGCCTCCTCTGTCAAATATTACTTGACTATAAAGGTATGGATTTATTTCTCTATTCTATTCCATTGATCTGTATATCTGTTTTTATGCCAGTACCATGCTGTTTTGGTTACTATGATCCTCTAGTATAATTTGATATCTTCAATTTTGTTCTTTCTCCAGACTGCTTAGACTATTTGGGGTCTTTTGTGGTTCCATGTAGATTTTTGGAATATTTCTTCTAGTTCTATGAAATACGCCATTGGTATCTTGATAGAAACTGCATTGAATCTTTAGATTGCTTTGGGTAGCATGGACATTTAAATGATGTTAATTCTTCCTATCCATGAACATGGTATACTAGAGGCCCAGTGCATGGATTCGTGCATTGGTGGGGGGCATGGCCTGCAGGGATCGGCCTGCTGGGGGGGCGCCGCTCATCCCGATCAGCCGAGTGGCACTCCCACTGTGGGAGCACACTGACCACCAGGGGACAGATCCTGTGTTGAGCGTCTGCCCCCAGTGGTCAGTGCATGTCATAGCATCTGGTCAACCGGTCGTTCTGCCGTTTGGTCACTGGGCTTTTATATATATAGAGGCTTCCACTTGCTTGTATTTTCTTCAATTTCTTTCTTCAGTGTCTTGTAATTTTCTGAGTTCAGGTCTTTTACATCCTTGGTTAAATTTATTCCTAGGTATTTTATTCCTTTTTGAAACAATTGTGAATGGGACAGTTTCCTTAGTTTCCCTTACTGATAGTTCACTATTGGTGTATAAAAATGCAACTGAGCCCTAGCTGGTTTGGCTCAATGGATAGAGTGTCAGCCTGCGGACTAAAGGGTCCCAGGTTCGATTCCGGCCAATGGCATATGCCTGGGTTGCGGGCTTGATCCCCAGTAGGGGGCATGAAGGAGGCAGCCAATCAATGATTCTCTCTCATCATTGATGTTTCTATCTCTCTCTCTCTCTCTCTCTCTAAAATCAATAAAATATATTTTAAAAATAATAGTAATAAAAATAAAATAAATAAATTAAAATGCAACTGATTTCTGGATATTTATTTTGTATCCTACTATTTTACTGAATTCATTTATCAGTTCTAGTAGAATAAATCCAACTTCATCATTATTTTTAATGTGTTGCTGGATTCGGTTTGCTAATATTTTCTTGGAGGATTTTAGCATCTATGTTCATCAGGGATATAGCCATTTGATTTTTTTAATAAGTATCTGCTGAGATGTTTGTGAACTCCTTATAATAATTTTAAAAGTTAATGTAATACATCAGTAAATGTAATCCCAAATCAAGTTACTTAGGATAAAAGCAGAAAATAAAGTAAATAACACAGTGAGTTAAGATACTGAAATTCACTTACTATTGCATATAATACTGATGAGCATACATCTGCTGCCACCACAGCACCTGCAATGGGCTGAACGCGGGGTACACTGGGAATTCGGCTGGAACGGCTTGTCCGGGAAGCTGGTTGTCTACATTTCTGCCATAAGGAGATAGAGAAATATCTTTGAATGCTCTGGAATGGAAAGCATTTCTCTAAATTTTCATTTCTGAACTACAAGTCATCCTACTGAATCAGAACCTGCATCTACACAAGATCCCCAGGTGATTAGCACAAACATTAAAAACTAAAAAATACAGCCCTAGATGATTCTGATACATGAGCAGCTTTCAACAGCACTGCTCTACTTCACCTTCTAATTCTCAAAATATGCACTCAGGTAATGGAATAAACTTCAAATGCACTCTGATTACTGCAGAGGGCTACCATGAAAGTCAGGAGAAACAGATTTTGAAGAGGCCCACGGCTACCAGGAATTCACTCACCCTTGCATTACGTATGGGAACTGATGACTCTGTGCGGGGTCGGTCTGTGCTTGGGGAAGGGAACGCTGCCTCAGTCCTTCTGAGGAAGAACTGACAGCTAACGGCAAGGTTTCTTGACTGGATGATGGAGTTCTTGATCCTGACTGATCTGAACTCTACAAACAGAAATGTAACTATTTTTTCAGGAAGATTTAATTCATTGCAATCATGAGGTTATAGACACAGTGCTAAAAACGTATTGATGAAATCCCTCTGCAAACAGTGAATTTTAGGAATTTACTCATTTGAATCTTGTGTCCAGCATAGTAAGAAGATACTTTAATTCTGATGAGACTAAAGAGTTCAGAAAAATCAAAGTTCCTTAATTACACAACAGTTCAATTATCAACTAGAAAAGGCTAAGTAGTGAAGTAATTGTATACAAAAAGAGCATACAAAATTGTGAGGATTCAATTACATGAAAAGTTCTTTTCATGATGCCTAAAACATAGAAAGTGCTCAATAATGGTACCAATTACTTTGCCATTTCCTATGCGCCAGGTACTGTATAACGTGCTCTTAGTAACACACTGTTTTAAAATTATGAGGAACATGCTAGAAATCAGAAGATCTAGAATCTGGTATTATCTCTGACATTAGCAAGGAACATGACCTTAAAATTTCACTTAACCTCTGAGTCTCAGCTTCCCTACAAAAAATAAGATTGAACTAAATTTTCAAGATTCCTTTCAGTTCTAAACTTCTGTTAGTTTAAAGATAGCAAAATATTGTTTTTAAAAATATGAACAAGGTATCAATCAGGATTTTAAAATTCTCATGTTTCAATGATGTCAGTAACTCACCAGACTCAACAGCCTTAAACAATATAACGCCTTGAAGACCGCCCATTTATTAGTATTTGAAAATAATTTATCATGTCCTATGTAAATATGAAATGCAATTATATTTTATATAAATTATAGCTCTTCCATTTAAAATACCTGGGTACAATATAATCTGAACATCCTTCCAGGTTTGCTAACGCTGTATTTTAGCTGCACTGCCTTCCTATCGACAGGATGTCTTTTTAGCATATGTACCCGTCCTACGTCCTGCCATGTAAAAGGTCCCAAGAACACTGGTCTTTTGCAAAACTAACACAAGCTTTCTTTAAGATGTTATTCCACACAAAATAGATACCAAATAACTCACTAGGGACTCTGATTCTTAGGGACGTTACTCAGAAAGGCTTCTTTTTTGACAAGATTTCTCATTAAATGAACCATAACAAGGTGGTTAATTAAAAGTTAATAGAAGAAAGGCCTAGCCATTTGGCAGCCCAGCCTTATTTCTTTAGAACTCAGGACTTCTGACCTTATTAGATAATTCTCTCATGATTAGATTTTTAAAACATTTTCAAATCCTACTGAAATTTCTTAGTCATAAAACATTAAGGGGAATTCAACTTAATTTTCCTTTGACACATTTCAGATTTTCATACTACACACCTTGAAAACTGAACATATATATACTAATGACAGGAAATCATGGCTGAGCAACCACTGGACAAGTCAAAGGATTCTAAAACTAAACTAAACAAAAACTAAACCAACACAACTGTGCCCAAAGACTACGTACAGAACTTCGTGCCACTGCCAATGACTGTCCCTTCTGGTCCAAGGTGGGAAACAGATCCAGGCCCTTGGGTTTATTGACAAAACATATTTCAGTTTAATATAAGCTAAATTCCCACAACTAGTACTACAGAATACTTACCATTGAGGACATATAATTAAATACAGCAACTAGAGGATCTAGATCTTAAAGAAGCATTTAACTAGCATCTACTGGAAGATCTTTCATCTAGTTATCATCTGCCACTCATCCCCTTCCTTAGAGTTTCGGCTCAATTCTTGACAAGAAGGAAAGTATACTTAGCAGTATAATAGCCTCTGCCCAGGAAGTTTAAAGCAAGCTTCCACTCATCCAATCCTTTCCTCTCACCTTCAAAGCTTTTATGGGAAACCAAAAATAATTTAAGGTAAAAGGATTTGGGACAGTGTCTTTCGTACTTGTAGAGAATGCCTAAGTTGAAAAGTTTAAGAAAAATTTCCTGAACAATTTTAGGTAAATGAAAAACTAAGGTAGGAGAAATGAATACCCAAGTCTGAAAGAGCTGAGTAGGTTAAGTAATTTTTCCTCCTGCAGTTGGAATGTATGCCCAAATCTAGTCATTTTTTAAAAAGTAAAATTCTTGCCCCAGACAGTATGGCTCAGTAGGTTGGGCATCATCCTTTGCACCGAAAAATTGCTGGTTCAATTCCCCGTCAGGCATATGCCCGGGCTGCAGCTTGACCCCCAGTGGGGGGTGTGCAGGAGATAATTGATCAATGTTTTGTTCTCACATAGATGTTTCTTTCTCTTTCTCTCCCTCTCTCTCCCCGCTTCCTCTTTCTCTAAAAATCAATAAAAATCTTTAAAAATGAAATAAAATTCTTGACCAAGCAATCTACTTCAAGAGGATTTAGCATATTTAAAACTGAAATAATGTAATCCACCTTGAATAAAATATACTATATTCAACACCTTATTTCTGAAATTTTACTGGCCTTGGAGTTTATATTATATAACATATCATAATTCTGTTTTCTTGGTATTTTAGTAATTAAACTCCTGACTATTACTGACCTGCATACAGGGGAACAGCCTTCAAGGGAAAACACTGTATAATGGACTTCTAAAAACAAAGTTTAAATGCCTAACTCAAAACACCATCTCACAATCCACAAGCTCCAACTGATCTGTTTTTTGTTTTTTTCACTTAATTTTTAGAGGCAAAAGAAATATAATGAGAAATCATCATTTACTCCTCCCAAACAACTCACAGAACTGTTGCTGGATGCCAACGCTTCGCGACCTTCTCTACTGCTGCTGGACTTGGGAGAACTGGGAGGAGTCCGTGAAGTACACACTAGATGGACCATATGATACTCATCTTGCTAAAAGTAAAGAAGGTTACATTGAAAGGGTAGTACTGGAAATGTACAGTCAAAATGTCAATAGCAGCTAAGCTGAAATACTTGACTCAAAACTTAAGTTCCTTTCTGGCATAGCCATTTATTAGTAAGAAATTGTTGTCATTTGAAAGTAAATTTACCATTTTAGAATTTGGAGCCCTTCTGAATTCTACTTTTTCTCCATGCCCGGAAAATGGTCTAAACACTCAGTAATTGCTATACGAAAAAATGATTACTTTGTATACAAAGGAGTCTTGAAGCAAAAAGTGCTGTAAAGCTGTGTCATGCAACCTATTATTTCAATATAAAAACATCTAGCACCTTAATGTCAGAACGGCAATAGTCGCTGAAGCTTAGCCCTGCAAACTTCGAGAAGCAAAAATATTTTCATTACTTAGACTTTGCAACTATAATAAAGAAACTCAAATAATTTCACCATAATCTCATTTGCCTTAATTTTAGCAAGGTGATGTATAGGTGTGTTGTTGTTTTTTTAAGTCAAAAACTGGTTTTATCTATAATACTTATATTTAAATAAAAGCATGTGTTTGAACTATATTCTATAAAATTTCATGTGTTCCCATAAACCTGTAACTATGAAGAAAAAAATTCTAGAAATGATTAGGAATGACATTTTAGCTTAGCAATTACATGAGTAGATTTATACTTAGGCATGAAGCAAGCAAATGAGACGGAGAAAGGAAAGAGAATAAAGAAGGGCAGAGAAGCACACAGGATAGCTCAGCAACTCATAAAAACAAAAGAAAAAATGAAGTATGATAAAGGAAAGGGGCAGGAAGACAAGGAAGATGCCCAGTTGTGAGAAAGAGAAACAAAGCTACTGGAAACTAAGAATTTACCCACTGCCAACCCTAAATCTAGAATTGTGCTGAATTCTGAGGTGAAGCCCAGAAAGGTAAGAGTCAGCCCCTCCCCTAAAGAGGCTCACGACACTGTTAAAAGATCAGAGCATTAGAGCACAATTAGAGAACTATACGAAACAGTCTTCTGCACAGATGGAGGAGCACAAACTACCAGCTCTAGGAGTTTAAAGAAAGAAGTTAATGGGGGTTGCTAGTAGAATGCTAAGAGGAGGAACTTGCAGAGATAGTCTGACATGAGATGTGCCCAGTAAGGTAGACAGAAGGCACTCCTGATTTACAATATCCCCCGGAGCTTCAGAACACAGAGCATTAAAAAGCATCAAGTATAAGATATTTACCCTTAGAAACCTAGTTTCAAAGGCCATACTAATCAAATTAACTATAGCATTTGTTCACCTTTTGGCAATGTTCCTGTAAAACATTTTATAACTAAGTAGGTAAAGCTAATGGCAGCATTTAATTGAAAGAAGTGGTTCACTGACTTTAACAAAAACAGTTCAAAGATCTATTCATAATGTAAACATATTATTCAAAATGTTTTATATAAGAGGCCAACAGTCCTTCGACTGAAACATTTTTATTTTAAGTCTTCTGGTCAGAAACCATTTCTGGCAGCAAGAACCTTTTTAAAAAACAGTCCAGTGCAAACTAGCTATCTTTGGGTTAAAATAATAAAATAAATATCTACTTTGAAGAGTGCACAGCAGCAATGTTTTTAAGCATAAAAACATGGAGAAAACGGACAGGTGTGGCACTGAGGATTTTTAGGGCAGTGACACTATTCTGCACGAGACTATAATGGTGAATACATGTCATTATACATTTGTCCAAACCCACAGAATGTACACCAAGAGGGAACCCTAATGTAAACCACAGGCTTTGGGTGATAATGATGTGTCAATAATGTAGGTTCATCAATTGTAACCAATGTTCCACTCTAATATGGAATGTTGTTGTGGGGGAGCCTGTGCATGGGGGGGCGGGGGGAGGAAATAAAAGTGAAATCTCTGTACTTGCCACTCAATTTTGCTATGAACCTAAAACTGTCTTAAAAAAATAGTCTATTAAAAAGAAAGAGAGAAAACCTGCTGCAAATTCCACTATTTTTGAGAGAGAAAGAAGTTATTAAACCACCTTGGCAAACTGAAACTACATAGTTAAAATGAAAATGACAGCAAGAAGTCACACTGGCAGAGTGAAAACGTCAACTATCTGAACAGGAGGAATATGCTGGTATAAAGATGTCTTAGTTTCCCTGATGATCATAAACAAAAGGAGAGGATGCAGATTTCCTAAATCGGTCCAGACAACATTAAGAGTTAAGTCAAAGATCTAAGGCAAAATATCAAAGCTATATATTCACAACCAAAATGTAGCATCACAAATGCAGAAAAGTTATAAAAGTATAAATTCCACAAATAATCATGAGTTAAAAGTTTCCATTAAAAAAAAACCACACAGTATTCCAGCTGATGATCAAAAAGCTACACTGAAATATATTTTAGCTCTAAGCACCAGCCTTCAAGGTTGCTAACTGATGGACCAATTGGGCTTCCTTCTATTTCTTGCCCTGAAATTAAACTCCTAACCCAAGCAACTTGTATTAAAATGTCATAGAGTTTGGTCAAAGGGGATAGAGGAGAGGAGACTGTCCTCAGTGAAAATCCTGCACCACTCCTTGAACTCTCCACTCCTGCACTACTGGTACGTTGATATAGAGTTTTCCTACACAAAATGCCAATCACCTGAACACAATATGTAATCCTAGTTAGCTATCAGATAGATATACAAAACTGCTACCTAAACTAACTGGAATCTATTATTATGTTTTTTACTTTCTAGCTCATGTTTACATGTTATGCTACCCAAAGGGTTGATTTTAAGTATCTGAAAACTGAACTGGTTGCATATTGATAAAATTTCAGAACTCTCCGCTCACACTCTGACTGTGTCTGGTATCGAGTAGTGGTAGAAATCTGCTTACTTTTCTGAGAATGTCTTTCAGCTGCAGATGATCGGGAAGCAGTCTGCCCGAATACACCAATCTCTGATCCTTCGTCAACTAAGAAATGGGACAAAGAAAATAATTCAACTTTTCTAATTATACAAAATAAAGGTTGGGAATAACATGCCTAAATATGGGCAAAGTAAACTCCCTTTAGGCACAAATAAGCAGAAAACTGACATATTTTAAGAATTTTGTTTTTCCAAATTCCACTTAAGACATTAAGAGCTCAGCAAATGGTAGCATATTTATTATAGATATAATACAGATAATTACCAAATTTCCAAATGACATTAACAAACAAAATTTGCCATTAGCAAACTTACTTATATGCTTTATCCTACTATATACAATCTCAAAATAAGAATAACAATATTGGATGAAGTTTACCATGTCTTGTGGCTTTCTTCTGTCCTTACATATATCCCACTAGAAATACATAGTTGAAATATTGTTTCAAAGTTACTTGGGATAATTCCTCTTGTAATTATGTCACCATCCTGACATTAAGTTACTAAATTATTGTGTTGCCATTTAAGGATTACTTTTTTCTACTGAATTTTTTCAATTATATGGCAACAGAGTAAAAATTATAGAATGAGATATGTTCAGAGAGGTTTAGTTTCTGTCCCTGTTCCCTCCCTACCTAATTTTTTAAAGTATGCTTTTATTTACTTCAGAGAGAGGAAGGGAAAAGGGGAGAGAGATAGAACATCAACTTTGAATTTCCCTTCCACCATTTCTTTTTAACAACACAACAAATCTGAATATAAACAAGTATCTCCCTTCTTTTCTCACATAAAAGCTAGTATACTCTACCTAATATTTTGTGCCTTGTCCTCCCACTTAATATAACCTGGAGATTATGCCTCAGCAATATTAGGATGTCTTCCCCATTCGTCTTGGCAGTTCACAATGCTCCATTATATAGAAATGCTACCATTTACTAATGGGTATTTGAGTAGTTCCAGGCTTTTGTTATTACTCACAGTGTCCTTCTTTCATACTATTCTATTTATTTCTGTACTCCCTCAGAGTATCCTGCAACATGGAGATCCCTAGTGGTCTTAATAAAAGCAATCTTGGTGGACAATAGGGTAAAAACTTATTTGGGATGGATATGAGAGAAAAGGAGAGGAGTACAGTTAGAAACATCTTTTAAAAGTGTAAATCAACCCTGTCACTCGGCTGGATTCCCACCACACTGGGTGTAAATCTAATGCCTTACCATCGCCAGACAGTCCCAGCAGATCTGGTTTCTGTCTCTCTCCAATCTCCTCTGATGGTATTCTTTCCTCCTCACTCACTAGCCAAACTGGCGTTCACTTAGCTCTCCAATAAGCTAAGCTCCTTCCTGACTCAGACACCCTACCTGCATATCCTTCCCCAGCGCTGGCATGGCCATCTAAATTACCAAGCTGGAAACATCCTGATGGTGGTCCGAACAGGCAGAGAGAGAACTACACCACTCTAATACACAGCTGCTTAACCAGCTGACCCCAAAACTCTGCCACCCACTCAGCAGACACTGCTAAAAAACCAAGGTGAGGAAAGCTCGCCGGCTAGTCAAAAATGCAAAGATAAATCCTAAATTGGGGAAAGACTTTTCTCTTTCTAAAAGAGTTACATATTATTATCTAAAGTGTCTGACTTCTCAACATTTAATCAGACATCAAAAACAGATAAAGTACTATATGCATCCCTAATGGATTTTAAATATTCACAAGAGTTTGGTAGTTGACTTTTACAAAGCCAGCAATACTTTACATTTCTAGAAGTCACCTAGTTGGTATCAAAAGTTTAAATTTTTTATGTGAAGAACTAAAAGAGTCTCTCATAATTATGCATGGCTTTAAGAAAGCATGCCCTTAGTATATCCAACTTCAAAATAATCAAATAGCTCAGTAAAAGCAATCTACAACTTATATGTTAGTTCAAAGAACGATGACCAGAGTCCTCTGAGAGTAGTAACTGTTAACATTTCAGTACTTGCATACAGCTGTCACAAGGGTCAAATAGCTTTGAAGAGCTGGTTCCCAAGACATGCACAAAACATCATTTCTGTGGGAAGGGAGTGCTGCGGATCTGTACTGGAACATATCTCCCACTCCCACTAGATCCAGCCCACCTAAAGCCCCAGGAAATTCACAAACACTATAAATGGAAGCATAGTTTACCCAAAGTGTCTCTAAACCTTATCTCCTTGCAACAACTGTAAGCAACACCAGCACACAGAGCTTACAGAAGAATTTCCTCTAGAACTCCACAGGGACATTCCCTGCTTAGCTGTTTCCACTCACAGGCCATGCACAAATCAGGTATAGATACAGCAGGGACTGCCAAAGTACATGCCTGCTATGGTTCACACGAACAAGCAGGAATGTGAGAAGATAGGGCAAAGCAATGTGCTTTGAGGTCTTAAGAGAGTATATCCCCATCTTCCCCATCATTTATCAAAATCAGCAGAAGTAACCATACACTAAGTTGAGATACATTAGAAGAGTATTAAGGTTATGCAACCCATTCACCTGTAGCCATTAAATGACAAACCATCTAAACACATAGACCTCTTTTTATAGTTCTTTTAATTTGAAAGCATACAACTGAGATGGCCAAGTCCCTAAAATTCAAATTCTACTACATAGAATTCTATGAACTTGGGGAAAAAAAAAAGAGCTAATAATAAAACTTAACATCATAAGGTATCTGTAAGGAATAAATGTGATAAAACAGATAAAGTGCTCAGCAGAATATCTGGTACACACGGTAACCACTTAGTAAATGGCAGTTAATATAGTTAAATAGTAGTTAACTATTATTTAGTTATACAACTATAATAGTTAAATAAAAGCATTTGAGACCATCAAATGAGTATGTACTGCCCTGGCCGGTGTAGCTTAGTTGGTTGGGCATTGTCCCCTGCACCAAAACATTGCAGTTCGATTCCAGTCAGGGCACATGCCCAGGTTTTGGGCTTGATCCCCAGTAGGGGCTTGCAGGAGGCAGCCAATCACTGTTCCACTCTCACACTGACGTTTCTCTCTTCCCCCTCCCTTCCTCTCTCTCTAAAAATCAATAAAAAAAATCTTTCTTTTTTTTTTAAATAAAACCTTTTAAAAATTAGTATGCATTTATTATGTAAAGGAGAGAAACATAAACTGAAGTTCTGGAAAAATCCTATTTTAAAAAGCACTGATGCATGATTAAACAAACTTGTACAGTGGGGCCGTGACTTACGAGTGTCCTGACTAACAGGTTTTTTGAGATACCAGCTGTCTCTCAGCCGATTTTTTGCATTGAGTTGATAGAGTAATTTGAGTTAACGAGCTCCTTAACAAGCTCCTTAACGAGCTCGGTCTCGGAACGAATTAAACTTGTAAGTCAAGGCTCCACAGTACTGTTATTTTCCCATAAAGACATTAGGAAAAGGCTACAAAGGAGTTACATAAAACAAATTTTAACCCACATTCATTCAAAACTTTTAACTTTTCATCAGCCTTCACACTCAATTTAATAAAGTTTTAAAAATGTTAACTATACTATGTGACATGAAACCCTCTTAAACCTATGAGCTAAAATTTTATGATAATTGTCTTATAATTTTGTTTTAAATGTGCATGGATTACAGCCCCTTTGAATCAGTTCAGAGGTGGTTAAGCAGATAAGATTTTTAAATGACCTGCCTAAATAAGATAATGGGGAATTACAAAATTAAAAGAGGTAACCTCAAATTATATTACACAAGCTATTTTCACTGATAATGAAAGTCAGATGTCCATCTCAACTGTAGGCAATTTGGTTCTGAAATAGAACTTACACAGCTGGTTCTATTCCTGTTGTCTTTATTTCTAACAGAATCTCAGAGTGAAGGAACAATTTGAAAAACAGCACAAACCTCCCTAGCTGAGCAGGAGAGCTGGAAGGCCTAAGAAAGAAATTGACTGCTTTAACAGTCTGAAGCACCAAGACACAGGAAATCTACCCTGTACTGAGGGACATGTTCGATAGGCATTCAACCTCAACACTGAAAAGTGGAAAGCCAGGCATACAAGCTCCAGGAAGTTTTGCATTCAAAACTGAATTCACTGTGAGTCAGGTCCATCTTAGTAATTATGTACGTATGAGAAGAGTAAAAGAATGAGAGAGATAACGAGAAAGGTGCCTAATGGATTTAGAGATTCTTATTTTTCAAGTTTTCTCCAGGACAGTGCATTCTACTGGATAACATGGAGTTCAACCATTTTGATATTTACATCTATAAGCTACATAAAAGTCTGAAACTACTCAAGTAAAAGGGGCCTTCTCCACAGGCAGCTTCACCCCTTAGTAGCTATTACCAAAATTTCAGGATCTCAAAATCTAAAGTCCTGAAGCGATGACAAATGTCTTATTAGAATAATATCTACATACACTATCAACATGAATTGGTACACTTCCCAGTTCTAAACCAATAATCAATACCATTCAAAGTTAAGCAAAACTCCAAAGAGCTCAATTCCATATCTGAGGTTGTTAATAATGACTTTGTAACATTTGCATAAATATGGCTACTGCCTTACTTCCTACCAGGAAAACACCTTCCCCTGTGTAGCCCATTATGGATCCATAATCTTTTTTACATAGTACTATCACACTAAGTAATCCTATATAATAAAAGGGTAATATGCAAATCAACCAAACAGCGGAATGACAGGTCCCTATGACACACACTGACCACCAGGGAGCAGACGCTTAATGCAGGAGCTGACCAGCCCCCTGGGGGTCAGTGCGCTCCCACAGGGGGAGCGCTGCTCAGCCACAAGACGGGCTGACAGCTGGCAAGCACAGCGGTGGTGGTGGGAGCCTCTCCCGCCTCTGGGGCAGCGCTAAGGATGTCCAACTGTGGCTTAGGATGTCAGTGGGACATCCCCTGAGGGCTCCCGGACTGCTAAAGGGTGCAGGCCAGGCTGAGGGGGACCCCACTGAAGTGCACGAATGTTGTGCACTGGGTCTCTAGTAAAGTATATAAAGTACTTAGATCAGTGCAACATGAGCTCTGAGAGAACAGGCTTTTAAAAAGCTTTCATCTTGTATGCTTAAAACTGTTACCAACCCTAAGAAAAATGTCCCTGTGAACGAACCTCTTCTTAAAACAGCTATACCTGGACCCTGGACCCGAGTTGACTGTTCCTTCCCTGTGCTTCTGCCACACTCAGTACACCCCTTTCTGTAACACCATTTCCATAATATTAGTTATTTTCTTTCATCTCTGTATCCCCCCACTAGACCTCAGCTTCATAAGAGCAAGGGACTCTTACCATGCCTTTCATGCTTGGCATACAGACATTCAAACGCCACATCAATAAAATCCAAATTAAAGTCAATAAATGAAGCCCAAGAAAGTGTGCTTGGGTGGGGGTAGTTTATCTGTTGCGAGTTTATTGAATTTAAAATATCCATGTGGAGATTATCTATGATTAAGTCAAGTCAATATCTGTTAAAACTAGAATTTTAAGATTTTTACACACTGTTGCTGAATCCCATTAATAGCATGTAGACACATGACCTATCTCTGTAGAGATCCTAAGAGGAACAACTTCAAGTATCCATTCTTCTCCCTCCATCAGCTTCCATTTATTTTCCTATAGGCCACCGCCCACAGGGACCAAGGCCTTCCACCTACCGGTGAACCATCACACCCAGCAAAGAGCAGCGCTGACCAGAGCCGTCAACTCTTCTACCTCTTACTGGGGGACAAGTGCTTCTACAAGGCACTGGAACCCCACTCTGCTGCCAAGCCCACCCACCCCAGCAGGCAGATGTGCACAGAACCAGGCATAAAAATGACCTCTGTTAAACACCAAAGAGAACTTGAGACACTTACACACAGAATCAATGTTAAGTAATCACTGTGGGTGGTCCTAAGAACCTAAACTTCCTGTGTAATGTATTAAGTTGTCATGTAACATTGCTTATGTTGCAAAATGTTCTCTGTTCTAATTAACAGCCTGACAAAGAAAACTTTTGGAACTCCACTTCCCTAGACTGAGGACTACCTATGGCTTTGGGGTATTATTTAACAGTTGGTTTGTTTAACAACGGTGAAACTTCAAATTCTCATGTGATAACTAAGTTAGACTGTAAGCCTGTCAAGTCCAATCACCATACCAAGTTTTCAGTGAAGTTCTATGAAAATAAACACATGCGACTCCCCCAAGGCCCACCCACTCTCATTAACCTAGAAATAACCTTCAGATAATGCAATTCAGTTGGAGAAGACTTGCTGGAGGAGGAAAAATGTCAGGTTTGCCACAAAACTAGGTAGTCAGGCAATTACTAGGTTGCATATTATGCTACAGCCTGCGAGAGTCTCCAGTGTGTCCAGGCAGCAGGCAGATAAGGAGGGCGGGGTGTGAAGAAGTTTGTAACTGCTCTGTCTCCAGCAGCTGACCCACCCAGGTGAGCGCTGGGAGGGTGCAGGTAAGGCCGACCGGCTTTCACATTCCTCACTTAGAGTCTTCACAAAAGAGAAAGTTTTAGAAAAGCAAGAACTCTTGGTCTATCAGAGTGCAAACCGAGTTCCTTTTGACTTGGTTTAATCATAAATATAAAGAACCTCACTTAAGTACATACTTGAGAGTATGTACTGGGACGTGTATTACTTAGGAACGGTATTCCGACTATGTTATGAACAGTACTATGGAAATCTATGACTTTAAATTCTGACTGTTCTGAAAAGCTATTTTCTACTTCGAAATGGTGCAAAAACGAATCACATGCAATAGGAAATCTTTTGTAAAGCCTACATTTTTAAAACAAATTGTTACCCCTTGTGTAAACTTTAACTTTAAAACAAAAGATTTGAATAAATGAGAGTTCCAGCTAGTTTGTTCCAAGTCCTTAAATACCTCTGGGTTTTTATTTCCTGTACTAAAAATATTTGTATCACAAGGTGCTGACAAACACAGCTAATGCCAACTGAGAAATGTTTTTCTAAACCTCCTATTCTTGCAATAACCGCAGGATTTCTGTAATTATTTCAGAAATCTAAAACTACACTTAATACAATAACACCAAAACAGTTCTAATTCATCAACATCTGGATGTGGATCACATGCCTTCTTTACTTATCAAGACTTAATTACCAACTATGTCCTTTCAAACCTACCTTTGGGGACAGATGGAGCTGTACTCTGTATTTTATTTATTATCTTTGCAATATCCAGATATGATTCAGAATGGAAAACACTGCCACACTGATTTACAAGTGGCCATATGAAGGGAATAAAAAAATGCACCAAATGGTGGAGGGGGTGGAAGAATTGTTCCCTTCAAATCAGTGAAATGTCTGTGTCCTGGTACAGCAGAAAAATGAGGGAGGTAGGGAGGGGCAGAGGAATGTGAGTCTAAAACTCATACTTCTTTGCTTCTTAGAAGATATATACTAGTCTTGAACATGTATCTTTTACAGGGGTACATACTTATTTCCAAGAAAAGAAACATTTGCTCTTCAACATGGTGAGCAACTTTCTGGGCCAGTGTTGAAAGTAAAGAGGAATTTTAGTCTAATAAGCAATAGCAGCTTTAACATGAATTGTAGTGCTTCTTTTTTTTAAGAATGCATCTGTCATCCCATATTAGGTTGATGACTTTTAGTCCAAGGAAAATGGTCTTTTTTTATGCCTGCCTGCAATTCCTATGTCCCTTGATATTTCTGTAAACGCTTACTAATTAACTGAACCTCATCAGGAAGATACTGATGATGGCTCGGACACTCAAGAGACGCACACGACTTCTGGGGGGGGGGGAGCCCAGGGCACGCGGCTGTGGCCGGGCGGGGGCCCAGCTGTCAGACACTTACTGGTTTGCTAGGGTACACGTTAGAGAGATGCATTTTTAGTTTCCCCACGGTCCAGTTCAAGAAGCAGCTAATGGTCTGGTCACTGTATTTCTGATTCGGTGCTTTAATGACGAGGGTCACAGGAATCTCCATCCCGCTCTGGTCCATGGTGCCCCCCAGGCGGCGGAGTGCAGAGGGGCAGCAGGTAAGAGCCCGAAGGAGCCGGTGCGGCCGGGATGGGGACGAAGCTAGTGGGTCTTAATATTCCGGGTCCAAGTCAGTCACAAGTGCACCGGGCGATGCAAAGGCCATTGCCGGGACCAAGG